CCTGGACAGTTTGAGGTGCAACTTGGCATAGTCGGATGGACCGAAACATGATATCCCAGAGGAGTTCTATTGGATTTAGGTCAGGCGAGCGTGGGGGCCATTCAGTGGTCTCAATCCCTTCATCCTCCAGGAACTGCCTGCATACTCTCGCCACATGAGGCCGGGCATTGTCTTGCACCAGGAGGAACCCAGGACCCACTGCACCAGCGTAGGGTCTGACAATGGATCCAAGGATTTCATCCCGATACCTAATGGCAGTCAGAGTGCCATTGTCTATCCTGTAGAGGTCTGTGCGTCCCTCCATGGATATGCCTCCCCAGACCATCATTGACTCACCACCAAAACGGTCATGCTGAATGATGTTACAGGCAGCATAACGTTCTCCGCGGCTTCTCCAGACCCTGTCACATCTGTCACATGTGCTCAGGGTGAACCTGCTCTCATCTGTGAAAAGCACAGGGCGCCAGTGGTGGATCTGCCAATTCTGGTGTTCAATGGCAAATGCCAATCGAGCTCTATGGTGTCGGGCAGTGAGCAAAGGGCCCACTAGAGGACGTTGGGCCATCAGGCCAGTCTCATGAAGTCTGTTTCTGATTGTTTGGTCAGAGACATTCACACCAGTGGCCTGCTGGAGGTCATTTTGTAGGACTCTGGCAGTGCTCATCCTGTTCCTCCTTGCACAAAGGAGCAGATATCGGTCCTGCTGATGGGACCTTCCACGGCCCTGACCAGCTCTCCTAGAGCAACTGCCTGTCTTCTGGAATCTCCTCCATGCTTTGGAGACTGTGCTGGGAGACAGAGCAAACCTTCTGGCAATGGCACGTATTGATTGCCATCCTGGAGGAGTTGGACTGCCTGTGCAACCTCTGTAGGGTCCAGGCATGGCCTCATGCTACCAGTAGTGACACTGATCCTAGCCAAATGCAAAACTAGTGAACAACAGTCAGAAAAGATGAGAAGGGAAAACAATGTCAGTAGCCTCCACCTGTAAAACCATTCCTGTTTTGGGGGTCATCTCATTGTTGCCTATCTAGTGCACCTGTTAATTTCACCAAAGCAGCTGAAACTGATTAACAACCCCCTCTGCTACTTAACTGACCAGATCAATATCCAAGGAGTTTCATTGACTTGATGTTATACTCTGATTGAAAAGTGTTCCTTTCATTTTTTTTGAGCAGTGTAGTATTTATTTCTGTAGGCTCACCCCACATCAGAAGGAAGAGGAGATGCAGCTGCTGCAGATGTTCCAATTCTGCAGAAGGAAGTGGAGAAGCAGCCTGTGACATGTCTGGGGGATTTGCTGGGGATGGTCTGTGACTACATCTCAGCACATTGTTTGTGAGTGCCCTGTGTGTGTTCTGACAGAGGCAGAGATGCCTGCATGCATCTTCCTACAGAGAATATCTATAGTCGTATAAGCAGAGCTATTTCTGGACTGCTGACCATAGGGAGGCTCTGGATTGATGTATTGCTGAGGCTGCATTATACGCTGAAATACTGCTCGGAATATAGCAGTTTATGGGCTGACTGCACAGATGTAACTGCTGGTGGCCTCACCTACAACACAATAGCCTAAATTCATAAAAATACAAAGCATACACTTTTTTTTTTTATAAATCAAAAGTTTTTCTAGTCTCTAAAATTTTTATGACATGGGTCTGCTGAAATATCGACATGTACGTTATATTATTAATTAACAAAGTATTGTGTATATAAAATTCAGTTCAAAAGATTATTGCTTGGGATTTTAGGGCTAAAAATACTGCAAGCTTCTGACAATGAGCTTATTGGGGTGACCAATAAGAAGCACAGAAAAAAGTATAGTGCTCAGCATAAATGAGTACACCCCTTTTGAAAAGTAAGATTTTTAATCAACATCTCAATGAACACAAGAACAATTTCCAAAATTTTTACAAAACTGAGTTTTATAGAAAATTTGTTTGGCTCATTACATGAAAGGAAGGTTAATAATATACCGTATATACTCGAGTATAAGCCGAGTTTTTCAGCACATTTTTTGCGCTGAAAAACGGCCCCCTCGGCTTATACTCGAGTCAACATCTGCAGGGGGCTGCTGTCTCTTACCTGGCTCCGGTCCCACGACGATCCGGTCCAGGAAGCGCGGCTGCTCCTTCATTCGGTTCGTCCACTGGATGTTCGCGCGGCTGCTCGGCTCCGCCTTCTCACCAGTGATTGGCCGCCAGAACTGTAGCTCAGGAAAGGCACACAGGCGGCCAATCACCGGCGAGGAGGCGGAGCTGAGCGGCCCCACGAAAATCGAGTGAAGGAGATGCAGGTAAGTGTGCCGTGCTTAGGTGCTGCTGCAACCACATATGCTGGCTGCAGCAGCACTGTACTGGAACAGGGGTCAGCAAGTGTCAGTGGGAGGAATAGTGCCCCATCATTGGTGTCACTGATACCAATGATGGGGCATTATTCCTCCCACTGACACCAATAATGGGGCACTTTTCCTCCCCCCCACTGACACCAACGATTGGGCACTATTCCCCCCCCCACTGACACCAATGATGGGGCACTATTCCACCCCCCACTGACACCAATCATGGAGCACTATTCCACCCCCCACTGACACCAATCATGGGATACTATTCCTCCCCCCCACTGACACCAACGATGGGGCACTTTTCCTTCCCCCCACTGACACCAACGACGGGGCACTATTCCTCCACCCCCCCACTGACACCAATGATGGGATACTATTCCTCCCACTGACACCAATGTTGGGACACTATTCCTCCCACTGACACCAATGATGGGACACTATTCCTCCCACTGACACCAAAGATGGGGCACTATTCCACTGACACCAATAATGGGGTGCTATTCCCCCCACTGATACTAATGATGGGGCACTATTCCTGCCACTGATACCAATGATGGGGCACTATTCCTCCCACTGACACCAATGATGGGGCGCTATTCCTCCCACTGACACCAATGATGGGGCACTATTCCTCCCACTGATACCAATGATGGGGCACTATTCCTCCCACTGACACCAATGATGGGGCACTATTCCTCCCACTGACACCAATGATGGGGCACTATTCCTCCCACTGATACCAATGATGGGGCACTATTCCTCCTACTGATACCAATGATGGGGCACTATTCCTCCCACTGACACCAATGATGGGGCACTATTCCTCCCACTGACACCAATGATGAGGCACGATTCTTCCCACTGGTGTTACCACCCTCGGCTTATACTCGAGTCAATAGTTTTTCCCAGTTTTTTGTGGTAAAATTAGGTACCTCGGCTTATATTCGGGTCGGCTTATACTCGAGTATATACGGTAATTACAAAATTTTCAGTTTTACTCAAATTAGTTGATGAAAAAAATGAATACACCCCACAATAAAAAAACTACTGCATCTAGTATCTTGTATGACCTCCATGATTTGTAAGGACAGCACCAAGTCTTCTAGCATTGGAATGAACAAGTTGGTGACAATCTTTTTCCATTCTTTAAGAACGACCTCTTTTAGAGCCTGGATGCTGGATGGAGAGTGATGCTCAACTTGTCTCTTCAGAATTCCCCATAGGTGTTCAATTGGGTTCAGATCAGGAAACATACTTGGAGACATACTTGGCCACTGAATCACTTTCACCCTGCTCTTCAGAAATGCCAACCGTGGCCTTAGATGTCTGTTTTGGATCATTGTCATGTTGGAAAAGTGCACAACGACCAAGGGCACAGGGTGATGGTAGCATCTTCTCTTTCAATATAGAGCAGTACATCTGTGAATTCATGATACCATCACTGAAATGGAGCTCCCCAACACTAGCAGCACTCATGCAGCCCCACAGAAGGACACTGCCACCACCATGTTTCCCTGTAGGCACCATGCATTTTTCTTTGTACTCCTCACCTTTGCAACACCATACAGTTTTGAAGCCATCTGTTCCAAAAACATTTATCTTGGTCTCATCACTCCAGAGTTCAGAGTCCCAGTAGTCGTCTACTTTTTCAGCATGGGCTCTGCCAAATTCTAGGCTGGCTTTTTTGTGCATGGGCTTTAGGAGTGGCTTTAGGAGAGGACAACACCCATGCATGCCATCCCTCTGCAGTGTAAGCCGTATTGTGTCACGGGAAACAATCACCTCAGTTTGGCTTTCTACTTCTTTAGCTAACTGCAGTGAATTTGCAAGGTGATTTTCTTCAACCCTTCTCATCAGAAGATGCTCATTTCAAGGTGTTAACTTCCATGGATGGCCTGGACGTCTCTGTGAGATGGTTGCAGTTCCATCTTTGTTAAATGTTTGTATCACGTTTGATATGGTACTCTGATAAGGAAAGCTTTGCCGATCTTCTTGTAGCCTTCTTGCAATAAGTGGCCGGCATTTTTGGATAGTATTTTGTAGTATATCCCTCCTAGATTGTAAGCTTTAAGGAGCAGGGCACTCGAATACTTCTTGTATTGAATCGTATTGTTACTGTACTGTCTCGTGTACTGTCTCCCACCATAATGTAAAGCGCTGAGCAAACTGTCGGCGCTATATAAATCCTGTATAATAATAATAGTATAGTGTCCCATAGAAAATGTTGATTCTGAAAGGAAAGTAAAGGTTTTCTGACAAATCTCTTGGGGTGTACTCATTTATGCTGAGCAATGTATTCCATTGTCCATTGTATAACTGTTAGTAAACAAAATGGTTCTCCTCCCTGTCAGCTCCTGCGCACTGCTTTGAATGGCATAGCCATGCAAAGCAGTGTGCTTACAGTGAAGCACACAGACACAGCCCCATGGTAAAACACACACAGCACACAGTTAAACCTTTGATCGCCCCAGATGTTAACCCTTTCCTGCCCAGTGCCATTAGTACATTGTCAGTGCTTTTCATTAGCACTGATCACTGTATTGGTGTCACTGGGGATGTCAGTGACACCAAGTCAGTTACCCCCAGTGTCAGAATGCCTGCTGCAGTCCTGCAGTCCCACTATAAGTCACTGATCGCTGCCATTACTAGTAGAAATAAAAAAAAAAAAATCCCAGTATATAAACCACCATTTGTAAACGCTATAACTTTCACGTAAACCAATTAATTTACACATATTGGGATTTTTTTGTAGCAAAGACGTAGCTGAATACATTTTGGCCTCAATTTATGACGAAATTTGATTTTTAAATTTTTTTACTGGATATGTTTAATAGCAAAAAGTCCAGAATATTGTTTCTTTCTCAAAATTGTCAGTCTTATTTTTTTATTTATAGCGCAAAAAATAACCGCACAGGCGATCAAATACCACCAAAAGAAAGCTCTATTTGTGCTGAAAAAGGGGACATTTATTTACAGCATTGCATGACCGCGCAATTGCCAGTTAAAGTTACTCAGCGCCGTACCAGAAAAAATGGCCTGGTCAAGAAGGGGGGTAAATCCTTTGGGGGTGGTTAAGGAAGTCGGCAGATGACTCATCACCTGTCAACAGGTTTCCCGATGACAGTATAATGTAAAAAACAAGAATTGCTGGCAATAATAAATTCATAAAAAAAAAACCTGTTTGAGGCCCTACCCCCCCCATCCATAACTAACTCTTCGTATCTGGTATGGATTTTGAGGGGAACCCACGCCAACATTTTTCTTTTAATGATGTGGGGGTTCCCCCCAAAATCTATACCAGACCCTTATCCAAGCATGCAGCCGGCAGGTCAGGAAAAGGGGGGGAGCGAGCCCTCCAGAACCATACCAGGCCACATACCTTAAACATGGGGGGGTGCTTTGGCCTGCCCCTCCATGTGAATGCGTATTGAGTACATGGTACTTCTCATTCACAAAACGTGTAGTGTAAAAACCACAGTAGGCAGTCTTTGACAAGTCTTTTATTAAATTTTTTTTTAAAAAACCAGCCCCCGGTGTAGATCCATCGATTATCAGATTCCGATAATCCCCCCCGCTTGCAGACCCCCACAACCACCAGCCAAGGTTGTGGGGAAGAGGCCCTTGTCCCCATCAACATAGGGCAAGGTGCTTTGGGGAGGAATCCGCCCTGCCCCAAAGCCCCCCTCCTATGTTGAGGGCATGTGGCCTGGTATGGTTCAGGAGAGGGGGCACTCGCCTCTCCCCCCTCTTCCTAGACCTGTCTCAGGCTGCATGCCTAAGGCATAAGGGTCTGGTATGGATTTTGGGGGGCCCCCACACCATTTTTCTTTAAAACTTTGGCATGAGGGTTCCCCTCAAAATCCAATCCAGACCCAAAGGGCTTGGTATGGATGGTGGGGGGAAACCCCTTGCTGGTTTTTTTCTTTTTAATTAATTATTGCCGGCAATTCTTGGTTTTTACATTCAGCTGGAAACCTACTGACAGCTGATGAGTCATCTGTAGTTAAGGGCTCGACAGCCAGCTTCCTTAACAACCAGCTGTTGTGCAATAAATTACCGCATGAAAATGTGGTAATTACCGCAATAATGTTATTCACCACATTCACTAATAATGTTATTCACCACTAATTTTACCACATTAGTTATTCACCACAAAAGTCTTAGTGAATTGCACATTTGTAAAAGATTTACCACATGCGTTATTTTACCACATTTATTCAGTCGTTATTTAACTCTTAGTGAATTGACCCCACAGATACAAAAATAGAATATAAAAGAATAGAATATAATAAAACAGAATTGAATAGAATACAATAGAAAATAGGAATAGAATAAAATAGAACATAATTAAATAGAATGTAATAAAATAGAAGTGAACACAATAGAAGATAAAAGAATAGAATAGAAAATAAAATAGAATAGCATAACATAGAATAGCCATCTTCTGAAGTTTGAATTTCAATTCGATTATCTCTGAATATACAAAACAAATTTGGTAAACAAATCATTCTAATATAACGAATATGATTAAACGAAATTATTAACTTCACAGAGAAATCAGAAACAAAATGAAACTATTTTTTTCCATTGTGCACTTCTCTAGTGTTATACAAGGACAAAGTTGTCCTGAGGCCCAAAGCCTCTTTTTTCCTCAGATGATTTCCTCTTTAACACATTAACCATGTCTCCACCTCTGTGTGTCATGCTCCAAAACATCCAAAGGAAATTTCTCCCAACTGTCTTGACCAGGGGCGGGCTGACAACTCATGGTGCCCCCAGGCAATAGGGGATCATGAAGCCCCTGTGTCCTCACCCACACCCAAACCACACCCAAATAGGCATCTCATGGGGCCCCCTACTGACCCTGAGCCCTCGGGCACTGCCCGAGTGACCAAATGATCAGTCCGCCCCTGGTCTTGACATAGTTTAAGCCGTGGGATCTACTTGTCAGCTACAGCTTCCTTACGCAACCAAATTCCCTCTTTGTACTTCCTGAGGGTTCCAGCTGGGGGCTCTCTGCTTCTTGCTCCACCATTGCTAGGTGGATTAGACAAGTCATCATTCCAGCCTATGGTCTAAAGGATAGGGTTCCTCCCTTCCCTGTGAAAGTGCACTCTACCATATCTGAGTGCTTTACGAGCTTTTTTGCAAACTCCAAGCAGGCTTTCATGTGTTTTGCACTGAGGAGAGGCTTCCATCTAGCCACTCTGCCATAAAGCCCAGATTGGTGGAGGGCTGCTGTGATAGTTATCCTTCTGGAATTTTGTCCCATCTCCACACAGGATCTCTGGAGCTCAGTCAGAGTGACTATCAATTTCTTGGTCACCTCTCTTACTAAGTCCCTTCTCCCCCATTTTGGCCAGGTGACTAACTCTTGGAAGAGTCCTGGTTGTACCAAACTTCTTCCATTTGAGAACTTTGGAGGCCACTGTGCTCTTGGGAGCCTTCAGTACAGCAGAATTTTTTTGTAGCCTTCCCCAGATCTGTGCCTTGCAATAATCCTGTCTCTGAGCTCTGCTGGCAGTTCCTTTTACCTCATTGCTTTTGCTCTGATACAGTATGCATTGTCAGCTATGAGGCTTTTTATAGAGAGGTGTGTGTCTTTCCAAATTATGTCCAGTCAATTGAATTTATCATAGGTGGACTCCAATCAAGGTGTGGAAACATCAATGCAATGATCAAGAGAAAAGGGAGCCACTTGAGCTAAATTTCAAGTGTTGTTGCAAAGGATCTGAATACTTATGTCTGAATACTATATGTGATACTGTATTTTAGTTTTTACTTTTAATAAATTCACAGATATTTCTAAAATTCTATCTTCACTTTGTTATTATGGGGTACTGAGTGTAGATTAAGGAGAAAAAAAATGATTTAAACAAATGTATGAATACTTTCTGAATGCAATATATACAGTATACCTACTGACAGCTGATGAGTCATCTGTAGTTAAGGGCTCGACAGCCAGCTTCTTAACAACCAGCTGTTGTGCGATAAATTACCGCATGAAAATGTGGTAATTACAGCAATAATGATACTTTACCACATCATTAGTTATTCACCACAAAAGTCTTTGTGAATTGCACATTTGTAAAAGATTTACCACATGCGTTATTTTACCGCATTTATTCAGTCGTTATTTAACTCTTAGTGAATTGACCCCACAGATAAAAAATAGAATATAAAAGAATAGAATATAATAAAACAGAATTGAATAGAGTAAAATAGGATAAAATACAATAGAAAAAAGGAATAGAATAAAATAGAACATAATTAAATAGAATGGAATAAAATAGAATAGAATACAATAGAAGATAAAAGCATAGAATAGAAAAAAATATAGAATAGCATAACATAGAATAGAATAGAAATCTTCTGAAGTTTGAATTTCGAATCGATTATCTCTGAATATACAAAACAAATTTGGTATATATATATATATATATATATATATATATATATACTCAAAGAATGATCAGAAATACTTCTCTTCTTGGTGTTTCTAAAGATGTTTTCAATCGACAGATTATTTAAGACAAATGAATATATAGTCAATCAATGTTCTATTTTTACTTGCAAAGGCCAACATATCCTTTTTTAACCTTTATTGTTAGCTAATTGGATCTAGTTATATTTTTCTGCAAATATTAAAATTGCTTTTAAACTAATTTGAACTCTTCTTTCAAGTATAATATGATGACCGTAAGCAACCAGAAGCCAAGATACTGTTATGAAAGCATTGATTTTTTGCTGGGTTCATGATACTTAATTCCTTTAACATGACATCATATTTGTAGAGAACAGAGGACCTTTGGCTAGATATAACACAGACCCCTCCATGGAATGATCCTGTCTACAAAAGCCAGAGATTACAGGGCAATCACCCTTCGCTCTGATTAACCAGCCTGCAGGAAACGGTTAAAGCACTAAAGAAGCAGTAAAAACCTAAAGCATTATTTGGCTGTACATATTATATATATATATATGTGTATATATATATATATATATATATATATATATATATATATATATATATATACATATATACACATTATATATATTGCTTGAGTTTTTAGGAATGTTTGTTTAACTGTTTGCTGTCTAATTGCAAGTTGGAGGGTAGTCATGAACAAAACTAGCCACTTCTGTTTCAGTAAAATGTATTGCAATCAATAGGGAAGCCGAAATCTGAGGAGAGGGGGAAGTCAAGGTGGTTAAAGCAATATTAAGCCACTTTCAGCAGCTGATTTAATCACTTAGTGATTATGCAGCTTCTTCATGCTTTAATCCTTGCACATGTTCAAGTTTAAGCTGGTGCCATATCCACTGCCCCAATTTTTCTGTGCCAGGGTGGCTCCTTTCTCAGGTAATATTGTATGGAGCCACTCTTGCATGCAGGAACTAGTATTGTGTCTCCCTACACTTTGCATCAATAGAAACACACAGCCTCCTAACCTAGGATAGCAATAAACCCCTTTTGCTCCTCCCCCTTCTTCCTTCTCCAGGCTAATAGACTGTCTGGAAGCTACAATGACCACTTCTGACTCTTTCCTGTGAAGACAGGAAGTTCAGGGAAGCAACACTAAGAGCGCTGAAGTCAGCAGCTTTGAAAGTCGTAAACTGAAAGTGCTGGGGTAAGAACTTTAACAAGTAATTTACTGGGGATTTTTTTTCCGTTAAATTATGTATTTAATACAGGCTTTTGCATAGACATCTACATGCATAGATTTCA